GAACGTCGAATCTGAATCACTTGAAAAAAACACGGGGGTGCTTAACTTTTTTCCAGGTGTATATTTTAAATTCCATGATTTAAATGCACAAAACACAAAAGTCATACTTCAGTTTTTAACCCTTTCTAGACCAGAGGAGTGTCACTGATATCCCAAAATTTTTTTCTTCTCACAATTCAAATATGAAAGCAAATTTTATGAAATTAAAAAAAATTAAATATTATCTAGCTTCGGCTTAAAAAATCCATATAATTTGATTTAACATTTCCATAATTTTTTATTTTGCAAAACTTCCATTATTTTGTTGTGAAACAGTTTTTGAAAAAACCAACAGCATTAAAAATACTTCCTTTTGTCTTAGAATTTCAATTATTATATTGTTGATCAAAATTTACCAGTTTATATATCCAATTAATATCAACTTGATTCATATTCCTTAACATACTTCTTCTGATACTTTATGTTGCTGATTACAATAGTCACCAATTTTGGCTATAATTCATAAAAAACATCATCTGACAAAGTTTTCTTGGTGATCTAGGATATGAGCTTTCAAAATGACATCAAGTCAGGCTAGATAACAATATTTTTGTTAACAACCCCCACAAACTAACAAACATATCTGGTATTTGTGCATTTCATTTGATATTAAAGGAGTCAAAGGTAAAACAAATTTGCATTTTACATAATAGGAGCTCTGTGAGGGTCATCAAAAGGTATCATTGTGCATAATTTCATCTAGATTGATCAAAATATGGAGGAATGGTAAACCAGAAACCTTAATTTTGCAAATTATTTTGGTCTTTGGTTCCTGTAAGATAACAAGGAAGGCAATTTTCTCAGATCTGTTTGTTCCAATTTGTGGAAGGCTGTTGCAAGGTATCGATGTACAAAGTCTCACCTAGATCATTCTAAATACAAATGAAAGGCAGGCCTAATGCCTTAACATTGCAAAAATATTTACCTTTAATTCCCTATAAAATCTCAAGAGCAACACAAATATTGGTCTTTTTCAGTCTGTGGGAGTTATGTAAGGTATCTTTGTGCAAAGTTTCATAAGGATTAGTCAAAATATAAAGAAATAGCAGACAAAAAGTGCTAATTTGGCATCTATATTTTACTTTTTTCCCTCTAAAATCAAAAGAAAGGTATACAAGTCTCAAATCTGTCTACTATAGTCTGTACAAAACCTGATTTAGATTGTTGGAAATATAAAAACTCTGCAGGCCAAAATATGTTATTGTAATGTTTGACCATTAACCCCTTAAACTGGAAGAGGTGTCTAAATAGATAAATAAAAAGACTTTGGAGCATACTGTAGTAAGGTATATAACCTCCAAGTTTCAAGAGACAGAATGATAGTTAATGCCACAAATATTGTATTTTGAGTGCAGTAATTCATTACAAAACATACATTAATAATAAAAAGTTGTTCCCAAATTGCAAAAGTTGGATTCAAAAATCATGAAGTTAACTAACGTAAATGTTATTTATCATTCATTTTTATGCATAATGTCAGGCAGTATTTAGTCAGTACTATACAAGTATACACAAAAATATTTATTAACTGACCACGTGTTTATTTTAATCCTACTTAAAATACTTACAGTTTAGCAGTCTGGGCAATTATGGGAAACTGATGTCCTGGAGGCAGTGAGAGGGTTACTCCATCTTGGTTCCTAACACAAGACAACTTTGGCACCTGAGACTTTTTAGCTAGCTTCAGTTGGTACTGATAGAAACAAGTAACAACTTATTAGTTGAGAAACTCAATATAAATATTGTAAAAAAAGAAACTTTTTAAAACTTCAACAACCCAGCTATTCAAATCCAATTTCCTGGATAGTACTCAATATAAAATATTAGATAAAAACAGAACCTTTAAGTATCCTTAAAAAATAACCAAAACATCCCATCTTTAAAAGATCTAATACAGTATAAAATGTATAAGATGATGAAACAAACAGGCCCAACAAGTATGATGAAATCACATTTCATTGCCAACATTTTTAATCACAATTCTCATAGTTTTTCCATTGTTATTAATAGCTGTGAGACTAAATTTAAACTAAGGTGTAGGTAAATACAGCATTAAAAAAAATGACACTGACTTCTTTTGTGTTTTGTTATAAAATATAGTTAAAAGTGTCACATTTGTATAATAACTTTGTTATATTGAGTTAACAGCACAAGTCAGAAAACACAATGTTTTCAGATTTATCTTATTTATGTTGGCTTCACCAATAATGAACAACAATTTGATTTTCTTTCCAAAATTTTTTTAAACTTTGAACGTTCAAATTTTTTATCATTTACATTTCTCTATAATATAAACAAAGCAATTACAGAAACAACAGCAAAAAAAACAGTTGGCCTATTGAAAAAAACATAACATTCCAACACTTCTAAATCTAGGTCCGATCTATCTTAGTTACATAAGGTAGAACATGCTTCTTTGTTCAATTTGATTCTGTTCACTGCTATTTCTGAAAACCATGACTGTGGAAAATTATGTACTAAGACCACATTGGAATTGTGGTGAAGATTAAGAAACTATAGTTGAGGTGAAGACACAACATGACAGGATGGACAGAACTAGGTAAACTTCTCTACTACAATAATTCTGAATAACTGTGTTGAAAGCTGCATTTATATTCTTGACTCATCCTCATGATAGACAAGATGAAAGGTTAATTGCAGAAACCATGCTACTTCAAACATACATTCCCTTTTCTTGAACATTTAATCCTATGGATTTTAAATAATCTTTTGCAAGCGACTCTTGTTGAAGTCCATATTATGTATGCTTGTTTCCTTCAAATTTGGGGTACAAATGTTCAAGAATCAACTTTGTACAGACTGTAGTTTCTTTTTTTTGTGTTCATCATCATCTGGCAATATGTTCCTACCACGTTCTGGCTTCAGGAACTGAAAAGAAAAGAGGGGGCCTTGGCTCTATATTTCTTGTAGTTCCTTGGTTTCATGTTGTAGACTCATCAGTACATGTTATACCTGTATAATTATTTCTAACCGTGTGTTCAAGACTTCAAGTTTCCATAGAACTGCTCCTACATGACTGTGTGAGTGTCCTTGTCCTATCATGCATGAGTACCATCCTTTTAAAATAGTCCCACCTTATTTACAAGGAGGATACACCTTATTTGGTTTTCATATATTTTGTGAAGCACAGACACCTGCTTTCAACATAATGTCATTATTTTCATATGTTTGGTGCAAAATTTGACCTATGTTACCACTTTGGAAGTAGCTGTACCTCTTCAAATAATTAAAGTTTTCCATCTCCTGACCATCGAATGCCTTTGATTATATCAGATAGTTGTAAATATTGCCATACATAACATTTAGCCAATTTTGGATACCATCAATTCAATTAGTAACCTTATTTATGTCTGCTGGTTTTCAATAATCACTATCTGATTTGTTTTGGTAAAAACTAATAATTTGTTGCTAGCATATCAATTTGTTTACATTTTCTTTCACTATTGCAATGGCATAGGTAACAGCATTGCCCCCCCCCTAGTGACCACATCTAAAACTAAGGGAGATAATTAAAAAAACTTGTCTATACTATAAACATACATTTTTGATGCTTTAACTATATAAACAAAATACACACACCTATACAAGCTCCTCATGTTGAACTGAAAAATAAGCTGCAGTGATTATCTATTATTGGAATTAATATAATTCTTCTGTTATTCAATAACTCATCTACAACATTAATAATATACACTCCAAGTTTAATAAGAACTTTCAGAGATAAGATGCTTGAAGTAGGTATATAATCTGACAACTACCTATAAAATTACATTATAATTGTAAGAAAGGTAAAAATAAATGTCACCCTGCCCACTTACTAGTAAGTCCATTCAATCATGTTTTTTTATGTTTATGAAAAAGTAAATGGTAATGAAGCTAGTAGCTTATGTAAAAGGTTAACAGATAAAAATCTTTACCTTGCTTCCTTTAACTTTGGCATCTGTTTTCTTCAGCAACCTCTCAATTGTTTGTTTCTATAGAGAGAACAATATCAAAATTACACAGGTTTATGTCCCACATTTTCATGAGTTTACTTTCTTTACAGAATTAAGGTGCATTTTGTTCACTAATAAAATGAATAAGAAACACCAACAATTGATATATAAATATAGAAGGTACAAAGTTAAGTGAAACAACAATTGCTACAAAGTCAAATGCTACTAAATCAAATGCTAAAAAGTCAAATGCTAGCTGCTGAGTCCCAGGAAAGGGGAAGAGGCAAAGGGGTGGATACGGAAATGTGAGAAGGGCATGAAAGATGAGAGACCACTGATGAAAAAGAAGTGTTGATGTACAGCTTCCACCCTAGACTCCAATGTATCAGGAAGATCTCCAAAGACCGACCGGCATAAAAATGGAGCCATATGAAGGTCCTGCAAGTAAGACATGGGTAGGTGCACATGAACTAAATGTGTGTCCCTACCCAGGAGAACTGAATAACAGAAAAGCCAAGTTTGTAGGGAAAAGGTCGAGGAAAACATGAGCACCAATGTGGAATACATGAGGGAATGAGTATCCTCTTGAAACCCTTCAGGTGAACGACAGATAGCTGCAGATAAGATGTGGATGGAGGAGAGGTAATGCAGGAGGGTGGTGAGGCTTACACTGAAATGGGAAATTCTCAGAGTGGTATGAGGGTCATATCTCCACACCTAAATCAAAGACTTTTATGTTCTGTGAGAACAGAAAAGGAAAATCCTAATGATGATATGCTAATACACAGGAATTTGGGGTACAAGACGGGATGAGGTGTGCTGACTCCAGAACTTAACTATGCTGTAAACTAATTAGAATGTATCCTGATATCTGGAGGGTGGGAAAATTAGATAATCCAAGGAAAGGGTGGAATTAAAGAGGAAAGGAGAGGAATCTTAAGACACAGGGGATATAGACAAAATGTAACATACCTGTGACACTATATCCAGAAAGGCTGAAGAGGTTCTGGGAGTACCGACAGGTACAATTTGGGATTGCAAGGCAAAGGAAGGTGGTGGAAACAGGCTATCTAAATCCTGTCATTCTGTCCACGTTCACCAGGAAAAGGAATATCTGGTCTGGTATAAGAAGATACAGCAAGTCGCATAATGGACCCAAACTCGTAATTTACTCAACTGAAAACATAGAGCCTAATTTGTATAATGTATGCACCTCAACTCAATTGAACAGCCACAAATTGCAGAGGGAAGGCACAGAGCCTGAGAAGCTGTAAGTTGAGGTGCTGTAGCAGTAGTAACAACAGTAGTAGTTGTTATAATTTGAAATTCAGAATTCAAACTGAGAGTGGAAACTTAGAAATCAACCTACAGTATTTAGGTTAACTTCAAAAACAAAATCAATAAAAGTGATAAGAAAAAGAAAAAAGATAGCTGTTAAACAAATTGGGAATCAAACTGTTAAATCAAAAAATCAAAGCACATTTGAGTGAAATTTAGATACATCTGCACACTATCATGTCAATTTGAGAAGTGAAGATTGGGCTCTATAGTATAGAGGGAGCCAACTGCACCAAAAGGGTATGCCATAGTAACATAGAACCTACACTGTGTCAGGATTTCACTAAAATACTAATACATGTTTTCCAGAATTTGAAAGCTGAGCTTTTGTTTTCTATGAAAATATTTTTTGCTTTTGGCATCTTAATTAGTTCAGTAACAAACCCTAAAACAGACTTGTACAATTAAGACAAAATATTTTATTCAGTCTGGAAGAAAACAAATATTAGATATAACTTCTTACCTTGTCTTTTTCCCGCTTTTCTTCTGCCTGTTGCTTTCGTTTCTTGGCTCGCATCATTCTCCGTTGCATCATTTCTTCTGTCATTGGCTTTTCTGGATAAACTGTAAAATGTGGAAATGGGCAGAAAATGTAATTTCTGTATGTTGTGAATATGTGATAGTAAACTAACTATTAAGATATTTTAAGCTAGTAAAAACACAAGAATAAGAAGAAATCAAAGATTATACTGCAACAATAAAAATTAAGAGGAAAAGTGCAGTAATATTTATTATTCATAAAAAGTTCACTCTGGATTAACCCTCTCACTAAGGGTAAGCCAAAATGTACATGCCAAGACCTTTTACAGTTTGTCATGATATAAAAGACTGTTTAGTTTAGATGATATTGATTGATTTGTTTTCATGAGTGAATATTTTATTGTTGTTTAGTTTTTGTTATAATAAGAGTTAAAAGCAGATGATTGGAGGAGGTTTTGTCAATAATTTATTGATGTTGATACAATTAAATGTCACGTGCAATACACTGACATCAAGAATATAAAAGGCAGACAGACGATTAGGCGATAAAGATATAAATAGCGTGAGACGAGCAGGAAGCAGCAGACAGATAGTAGCAGAAAAAAGTAAAGTTACAAAAGAAGTTAACTACCCTAAAGTGATAGGCCTAACATTTAATATGTTAAAGCAAGTCTAAAAGTAAAAATGGAGATAAGAAAAATAATCTATTCCATCAAAGAGAAATTCTAAAGTAACTGAATCAGCCTGACACAGTCACAAACACCTATTTTAGAAGAATCCTAAGCCCAACAACAACATAGAATAAATTTATACTATCAAGAAATATAAGTAAAAGCCTTTTATTTTGAGAATTGGCATTAAAAATTATATATTTCAAATTCTGACAATTGATGAGCCACAGCCAGGAATATTCAGTGGTAAATGGCGACAGAACGAAATGCAAACGACAGTGAAAATAAGTAGGCCTATATATGCACAACTATTGTAGTAACCCAAATATTGTAGAGATTACAATCACGCTATTACCCACATCAAATTTTGATAAATTGATAGAAGTAAAAGCCTTTTATTTTAAGAATTGGCATTAAAAATGACAATGGATGAGCCACAGCCAGGATTATTCAGTGTAAACGGCGATAGAAGAAAATGTGAATGACAGCAGAAATGAGTAAACCTATATACGTACAACTGCAGTAGTAACTCAAATGTTGTAAAGATTACAATCACGCTATTAATCACATCAAATTTTGATAAATCGATAGAAATTGGAGAACGTCTTGGGTTAAAAGAATACAAAATGAAAATGAACTATGAGAGTTCGTTAAACAACAACAAGAGCTAGAGAGAGAAGAACAGTTACAGAAAAGACAAATACAGAAAGAAGAAAGGCTAAGAGAAGAAAAAGAGAGACTAGAAATAGAAAGAATAAGAGCACAAGTTGAAAAAAAGAAAGAGAGAGAAGAGAGACTGCAAATAGAGAAAAAAAAGAACACAAATTGAGAGAGAAGAGAGGCTAGAGAGAATAAGAGCACAAACTGAGATAGCAAAACTCACCCAATCAAAGGAAGAAGGACCCAAGAATGACAATGGGGTCAGGGCTAGCAGACCTAAGCTGCCCAAAAGATTCATCCAAAGTCATAACTGGGACAAAGGCAACTGAGCAGTCTGTCTCAGTCCACTCACAGGAAAAAACCGACAAGTATATGCATGTGGATAATTAATAATACCCAGTTGCACAACCTCAGGGTCCACTTAGTATGGGTGAAAAATTTCAGGTTTCTAAGTTCTTTCCTCTTGAAGCTATGGCAGTCACACAGACTCACCATTATATTATTATTATAGATTAGTTAGAACCAATAGAAAGACAAAGTTTTACTCTAGAAAATGAAATGTTATATCACATTGTTTTCTGTACAGAATATTGCATATATCATCTCCAGTTTAAAAGTTTCTATTACAGTGTTCAGATTGAGAAGCTTTTTGAATTATTTTGAGGCTCTTATTCTATAGTTCGAAAAGCAGTTAAATTATGATAATTGTTTGATTTGTGCATGTTATTCTTTGTTCTTAGGTGCATTAAAGTAAATAAAAGTGGTTTAGTGCCATTAGTAAAACAAAAGTAGGCTTAAATTTCATCAGCAACTGATAGCAAAAAACAAGAGGTTAAAAGTAAGTAGTATGTTTCTTGTTTTTTTATGTATAATATTTGCTACGTGATATACAACTTTTGTAGCGGAATTATTAGTTAGACACAGTTCAAAGAGCAATAAGACTGAAAGCTTGACAAATTTTGTATATTTTTGTATTAAAAGTTATAGTATGGAACCTGATGGTAACTTTATAGTTACAAGGTTGGCCACATCGACTAACCCCATACGGAAAGAGTTAATGAACATAATAAATTTCTAATTTTTACATTACAGTTACTTTTATAAGAATAAATAAAAATTAAATATAAAAATTTGAAATTTAGGAGTAAGGCATGGGCCTTGTACTTTTTTGCAGTCAAAGTCTTGATAAAAGGTTGTTTTAAGTGCATTACTGAATTTTTATTTATTTCAAATATTCAATTTGAAACACAAAATAGAAACACGCATAAAGAATACAATGTCCTACAATTAATACAATTTAACTGGTTTTCTAATTAATTTATAAGTAGTTTAAAACAATTCCTCTGGGTGGTTGAGGTGACTTGGCAACAGCAAAGAATGAAACTGTAGGCCAAATAATTCAGAAACTGTTGTTAGAAAAAAATTTGCTAAACTAAATCTTCTCTTTCTGTTGATTAAAAACAACCTAAGAGCAAATGTCAGAGAGAATTATTGAGATTTTTCTGAATGACAGAATGTGATAGGAGGGAGTGGCAAGTGGATTTTATTTCTGATTTATAACTTAGTAAAGCAAGAAGACTGGAAGCTACAAATTTAATCATGTCATAGCAATATCTATAATTATAAGTTTATAACTTGTATTCAAACTCAGAAGCTCAAATAGGGGTGGAAAGAATACCTAAAATGGGCAATTTACAGCAAAGAAGTGTCATGTGATACACAGAATTAAAGACTGAGAATCTATTTGTATATTTAATTTTGTAATTATCAAATTAAAACTTATATAATATAAAAAATTTAATTATAAACTACACTTTGTCCCTTAGTATAATAAAATAGTTTTATTAAATGTTGAATGTAACCGTAAAAAAGTAGTAACATGTACACTTTGACTTATCCTTGCTCAAAAGAATAAATACATAAAATCTTACCTGTAGGAGGTGGTGGATCATCTTTTTCTTTTGATTTGTTTTCCAATAGAGCTTTCTGTTAAAATGAATAAAAGAAGTTCTTAGGTTCCCAGATACAAAACAACTACAGTTAAGTACAAAAACCTTTAAAATATTTATACTTTTCACTTATTTTGGCAACTACATTTATCTGTTTTTTTAATCACTTCAAGAATTGTTGCAGTTTATTTGCATAATGTCTTTAAAGTGGATGGCTAAATGTACGTAAAATAAAATCACAGACTTTTAATGGCAATTCTGCTATATCAATTCACAAGAGTGCAGGTATATTGGTCTTTCTGCAAAATAAAAACTTTGGGTAAGAAAATATTTCTCCAAATGCCCTAAACAGGAACAATTTATATCACGTGTGAAAGTGTAAGTTCTGATGACACATATGACTATTTTATTACATCTTTTATTTAAAAAATTAAATATAGATTCCTCACAGATTAGCATTTGATATATATATATATATATACTTAAATTACAGAAGAAAACAAAAAAAAAAAATAAGAATATAATTTTTTGTAAGTGTTATGCTAAAATTAATTTATTCTTAAAAGCTGAAAGTTGCCATTTATTAATTTTATTTGTAGTTATAGTAACTTAATAACAAATTTATGTATAGCAACATTAAGATCTTCACCAACTTAGCATCTGAGACTCAGTTAAAACATGTTTTACACCACAAAAACCTACACGTACTACTAAAAAGAATGCTAAATAATCATCAGTACATTTTCAAAATTATGACATATCTGACAATATGAGTCCATGTCTCACTTGCCAATTTTATACCTCAAATGTTATTAAAAATAAAACTAACATACGGATTTGCTTTTGTAGCTGCATTCTCAGAACTTCCAACTACATGTATGTTTTTGCTATCACCTTTAACAAAGCATTAAGATATTTTTCTTTCTCTTCTACATGCATATACAACAGATTAGTTAACTTTGAAGATCTCCATCATCATTTAAATTGTACTTCAGTACATTTTTTATTTAAAGCTCCAGTTATCGATAATAATTCATATCTATAATAGCCCTTTTCCTCTGAATGTAATTTCAAGGCTACTGGCTAAAAGAATAGGAATATTTTTACTCAACTGCTCAGGTTAGTTGGTTAAGCACTTGTATGATACTGTCAGCAAAGTAAGTAGAACAATGAAGAATTTTTTGTAATGAAATCTCTACAATATCCCTTCGAAAAACTGGCATTTATAGATAATCTAAATAATTCAAAATTATACACAAACAAAGAAACAAGTTTCAATATTTGCTTTTTAAGAGGTACCCACTTAAGGTAGCACTGACCCTTAAAAGTGGGCAACTTTACATGCCGAAGAAACACTGTTAAACACTTCTTATAATCTTCAAGTTGAGCACAAAACAAAAGTATGATGTAGCAAATTTCTGAAAGTACACTTTTAGTCATATACGTCATATTGCATCATTAGTACGGCAGGGATAAAGGAATACATAACATAAACTGTTTTAACAGGAAAGTAAGAGGTATGGCAATACAAACATAACAAATACACAATGTAGTAAAAGTAAAGTTAACATGTTCCTATCCTGAAAATGTTTTTCTGATACATAATCACTTCTGCACACAAAATAGCTTTTTCTTTTGCTTGCACTTCTGTATATGAGATTTGCATGCCAATAGCCTTGAGCTAACTCACACCTAAAAATCATGCAACATTAGCCCTCCATCAATAGGAGGGTGACATAACACAAAACCTCCACATAGAGTGAGTCCTCTTAACTCTCTCTATATATGGGCTCAGTCAAACTGGCTGACAACATGACCACTTTGTTCTCATTTAAAGACATTATCGTTTTGAAACAACTAACCTTTAATATAGTATTTACAGACTTTCAGTTACAAGTCTGTTACATACAAAAAAATCAGATTTTTTTAGTAAAGTATTTTAATCAACTAAAAAAAGATTTGTCCTATTTAGTATTTTTTTTTACTAGTCGGAGTGCAAAGTTATTTTCATGTTAAGATTAAAAATACTTGTCTTCATCTCAAACATCTCACATTTCATTTGTATTATCTCTAAAACCTCCTAAAAACATTTCAAATGTTGTTTTTTCAGTAAAACTTTATATTTATCTGTTATTTTCTCTTCCCTAACTCTGTACAAGATTGGTGAATTTGACCGATCGTGTAACTACCAAAACAAAACTTTAAATAAATCTAAATTATCCTTTTTTACTTTCAAGAATGACTTCAAATTGTAACATCAAACTGCATTAGTTTATCCTAAGTAGCTGGGAGTACAAGCAATGGAAAATGAATGAATGAAATAACATACCCAGGAAACTAGAATGTAATACAGAAGCAAAACCAGTACACAGAAAATGAAAGACTAAAGGTTAGTAGCGAGCAAAAAATTTGCACCAATAGAGGGCAGTACTAATCAAGAAAGCTTTTTGCGAGTAGAGGTTAAATATTAAATCAAAATTTTGTTGTTTCATTGCCCTTTGAACCATATTTTACTACTACTTATGCCATTATAAGTTGTAACTCACATTATGCTATTGAATTGCATTACCCATGAGGTATACGCATGTGTGAGAGCATGTAAAAAACACAGTCTGTTCCCAGTTAGGCTTTGGAGTAGGACAAGTGGGTTGATGGAAAAGAAAAGATCAGAACAAGATGGAGATGAAAGAAGAAGGAAAATCAGATAGCAATGGGAAGGTAATGTGTAATTGATAAGACCATCCGATAGCCAGTAAACCATGGTCACACAACCATGCAAAAAAGGCTGAAAGGTGGGTCACAGTAGGATAGCCCAGAGGGTGGGAGAGGCTTATTGACCAATGTCAAGAGACCCAGTCATAGTTGAAGAATGACAAGAATGGGATAAGAAAAAGCTACATAAATGGAGAATCCAACTCCCTGGGCAACAGACTGGACAAATTCCATATGTGAAAGTAAGGGACAACACCCCTGAAAGAAAGAGTGGGAATGGGGTAGAAGAAAATGGGGCCTGGATGCCATTAGATGAAGTAGAGGAAATAATCAGGGTTGCACTGGACAAGAGGCACCACCAACTGGAAGTTTCTCAAATCAAAGCAAGGTCAGGCATACAGAAAAAAGGTGAGGCCAGTCCTGACTGAGAGCATTGACCCAGGGCCAAAAGATGAGGAGCTGAAAACCAGAAGAGGGTAAGTTTGTTATCAGTTGGGTATGCTTCTCATCAATGCCTTTGCTACTGTCAATACCAAACTTAAAAAAACAGTTAGAACCCTGTTAGGCCAAGAGAGACAGTCTGCCAACTAGTTCAGAGCTCCAGACACGACAAGCCGCGAGATAATCCTGAGGGGAAGAAGCCAAAACAGCAGGTCCAATGTGTGGAAGCAAAGAGTCCTAGAATGGTACCCCTTGTTGGTTGATATAAGACCATGAACTTGTTGGAGTGAATTATGACCAACCAATCCACAAGAAGAGGAAGGAAATGGGAATATCCCTAAATGGTGGCGAGAATGTCAAGGATGGTGATGTGAACACTTTCTGAAGCCTACATGTTTAAAGTCATGCAGTTCTTCAGGGGTATGTCTATCGTAATGTTGGTATGGTCAAGCCACAAAGACAAATCTTTTGAGAAGAGAAAGTAGGCACACAACCAAGAATAAATGAACCCAAGAAAGGTCCACTAGTCCAGCAAATTCCATGGAAAAATGCACATGTACGTATGGTCTAAATGAATGAGTGGTCCATGGGAAATCAGAATACCCAAAAATAAAGGAACCTTATGTGCATGGAGTAAAAGAGTAGCATGAAACCTGGTGATAAGACCTACCACTGATTGTTAATAAAGTGGTGAAGACTGGGCTTGACTGAGAATGAAGTTGAAAAGTATGCCCAGAAGTACCAAATGTAGGGTGGACATGAGAGAAGACTTGGAAGGCTTGTGAGGTTGAGCAAGACATGAGGCCACTGCAAACAATGAGAACAGACATTGGACTGCCTCATTCTGGGTCTCCAGTAAGTCAGAAACACCCCTGAAAACCTCTGGGCAAAGAAATGAAGCCCAATCAAGAACATGGTTATAAGCATGAGGGAGGAATACATTGGTTAGGAGAGCTTTCCATTCCAAAAAGTCCCAAATGCAGAGGAACCAAGTAAAGAGGGATAGAGCAGTAGCAGTATGGGTTATTGTAGTGAAAAAGAGAACAAACCTCTCCAGAAAACCTTCCCATACAGCACGATGAAGTGCCTCAAATATAAGGTGAAGTGATGAAAAGTAATACAGGAGGATGATAAAAAGAAAAATATATACAAAAGTGTGAAAATTGGGTACTAGATAACAAATCAGAAGGTAAGAGGTCTACCCCTAAGCAGATAAGAGGAATTCCAAAGACTGGGAATTACCAAACAGAAATGAAAAACAGCTGATAGTCAGGATAAAAGCATGAAGTAAATAAGGAGGATGAGGTATGTCAGTGCAGGCGTGCAGTTGTTCAAGAAATGAGTTTGCCTGAACAATAATATCACATGAAAGAGGGAAGACAATGCAGTTTTGAGTAGTAAAGTATGTGAGGAATAAGATAACAAGGGGGAAGGAGAAATAAAGAATATGCCTGCAAAATCATGTGAAGTAAGAGATTAAGAGATTTACACGTTGGTGTAAATTATAATGTAACCTTATGTAAAAAGTAATTTTAAACATATTCAATAGTAGCATGTTAGAAATATAACACAATGTAAAAAAAAACCAGTAAATTTACACATTATTTAACACTAAAATAGCCCAAGAGTTGGTAATGGGTGCTGCTGACCAGTTGTCTTTCCTTTAGTCAGCAGTTCAAAATGAGGGATGGTGGCAGATAGCCTTAGCAACTTTACGATAATTAAAAAACAAAGATAAGATATAACATCCTTGAACTGAAAAGTTGAGTATACTTGATAGTAATGCAAATTGAACCTGAGACTCTCGAACCATGAGGAAATTCCCTTAATCACTAAGTTATACTGGTATAAAGCAAAACAAGCTTGAATTAATCAAAAAATTAATAATGAGAATTTGAGAAATCATAATGGACAATGTTTTGATTACTTTGATAGCTGGAATAATTAAAAACAGTAATAAGTAGAAACACTAATGTTCATTAATTGATTATTTTACATAACACTAATTGATGCTCATGTGTAATTGAGCCATCCAGCTTTGATGGGATCACACATGCTAGTTAGAAAATTCAAAGGGGAGGAAAGCTTGTGGTGATAAAAAATACAATATGTAGTTAAAGTTACTCAATTAAACTAATAATACACATCTTGCATACTAACATACTGCTTTTATTAGATGAATTTCCTGAATTACATTGGTCACTTCATTTCTAAATTTCATATTTATAAGAAAATGGGTAATGTCTAGAAAGCTGTAAAATATTATAAGAATATTTTATTTATATATAAAAATCTTTTATCTAACCTGTCGAGCAGTCATGAATGTTGGATCTCTCATCTTTTTTAATTCTTCATCCACTTCCTCTAACCGCCCAGACTCTAAAGCTTCAAGCCAAGCCTCCTCTTCTTCCTCACTGCCAACACAAGAGTGTCCTGGTCCAACTCCAGTTAGAGTGGGCATAGTAGCTGAGTTACTTGACTGAGACGGAGAGAGCCGTTCATCAACCACTAAGAAAAATTAGCATTTTAGAATTTGGGAATAATCAGTTAACACTCTGATGCTACTGACATATGAAAATTGTACAAATAGCTAATAAGCAATGAACCTTCCTTGCCAATAAAACGTGTAGAGAACTAAGCATCTTTGTGGCCATTTCATGGCAAATTACACAGTACTGTGCAATACTGGCCAAGATTCAACATTGGATGGTATAGTTTTTGTTAGCTTTAAGAATGTTTTTAAATTTTGTTGAATTTATTTTCAGTATTTTATTCCAATTCTTCAGAAAACTGGAATTACTGAATAGTATATCATAAAATTGGGTAATTTTGTGACAGACTAATCAAGTTTTACACTACAGAATTATAAAATACACTGTTTTTAGTATATAATGACTTTGCAAGAAAAAATTCAGACTTAAATTTGTAATACTTAAACCTAAAAGAGCATACATTTGTTTTCACTAACTAATATTAATTGTGTGTGTGTGTGTGTGTGTGTGTGTGTGTGTGTGTATATATATATATATATATATATAACTGTGCAATTAATGGAACTTTCTTATCAATTAACTGTTGAGCTTATTAATTGATTACATTCAACTGACTCATTATTCTCACAGGAAACTTCTACAGCTGGAATAATAAACAAGAGTAATAATCATAAATTGATTAACTGAACAACCTTGAATCATAATATTAACATCTGAATTACTTGGTAACTTGGAATAATCTGAAAAACTAATTTTGATTCACTGATTAAATTTATTAATGTAACAAAATTTATTCATATTTTAAATTAATCCAGTTCACATGACAAAGTTTATTGATTATGTTGATTAGTCACCTAACTCTAACTGTGATATTAGCCACTGTCCTTCTTTAGAACAGTAATAATGCTGAATCAATTTTATTATTTTTTAGTTCATATCAGAATATCTTGCTTTACTATCTATATTATTTAACTAAAAATGAAGGTGAGAGCATCACTATGATTAGAGCTGGGCAACTAGTATCATTTGCTAATAGAATAATGGAATGTTAAGTACAGTGTTTCTCAAACTATGATATACACAAGAAGAAAAAACAACATTATTGGATACAGGTGCTGTTATCCAGTTGCTTTCCCTCTAGTCAGCAGTTCAAGAAGAAAAATAGTTATTGAATCTCTGTGACTGGTAACTCCTAGCAAACAGTTTATTTTTTTGTTTTACTTTTGAATGATTATATCATATAAAAATTACAAGCAAATATACATTGCATTCCCATTAAATTTTTGTAAACTCTTGGATATAAATATGAATACTAAGAAATTATGAGAATTTTTTTAAAATGAAGAAACTATGAAGCCCACAAAATAATGCAAGTTTAATAAAATAATCAGAACACTAATCAGTTTCCCTCCTTTTTCCAAAATATAATCAGGTTGTTCAGTTACAGTTTTCATAACAACGAACATTAAATGAATTTGATTAGATCCAAGTCTAATAGTTATTGCATCTCATCAAAAGCACAATAGCATATGTAAATCCAACAGGGTAAATACCTTTGCCAGCTACATTGGTTTATAAAATATTTTTGTCACTGTAACATTTGAATGTTGAAAAGTTTCACCATTTATGAGTTTTATTTTAACTATTTCATCCTGATGTAAATTTTGTAATATAACATGGATTCTTACTAGCTGGTTTGGCTACCTTCAGATAACGTTTAATTAGGAATCACCACTTCATTTTGACAATAATGTAAATAAGAGAGAGAGAGAGAGAATCAATAAAAGAATACAGATCTACCTACTTCTGCTCCTAGCATGATTTACTCTCCACATTTACAAATTTTATTTCTAAAGACCTATTAAAATGATGCAATGCCAGGGCTGTATCCAACACTGAAAAATCGGGGAGGCAAACTGTAGAAGAAGCCCCCTACTCCAAATGAATTTTTGTCACTTAAAGGCCCCCTTTTTGCAGGAAAAAATAATTACAGCAGAACATTGCATAATTATAAAACTTTATTTTGAGTACAAATGAAATGGACGATTCCATCATTTGGAATTTGAAATTAAGGTATAAAGTGGGCCCCTCTTAACCCTCATAAGTGGGGCCCCCAGACAGGGGGCTGTCTACAGAACTGGGGCTATGTGCATGCCAATTTTTAAATAATATGTAATGTACAGAGCAATTACCAAACTGATTGGGGCCCCTTTTTTGATGGATTGGAAATTCTTTTGCTGTTTTAAAATAATACATAATGTACAGAACAATTAAAAAACTGATTGGGGCCCTTTTGTTGACTGATTCGAGTTTCTTTCCTACTGATGACATTTCATTTGTTCCCAATGTTACAATTTTCCTTACAGGGAACCCCCAATTTTTGGGAAAGAGCGAGGAGGCAATCGACTCCTTTGCCTCAGCCTGGCTACAGCTCTGACAGCTAATATGTGAGAAGATATATATTGAAGAGTTCATCAAATTCAAATACATCTACTTATAACAGTTATTCAATCAACTTTAACAGAGAAATCTATTAACATTCCAAGCATAAGTAACTCTTTATGATTAGAAAAAACAACAGTGAAAAGGCACAACGTAAATGTCTGTACCCCTTATGTGTGAACTCAAGGGAAAGCAAAATATAAGAGTTTCTTCAAACTTGAGTGTTGCTTTCAAATCAAGAAAAAAGCTTCAAAACATGCTAACCATAGTAAAAATAGCCCCCCATAAGAAACACAAAAAAAGTCAGTCCACCAACTATAATGTGGATGTGGTATTAAAAATACTGAGAAACTGGAAAGTGTCAATAAGAATACAAAGATATAAATGAGACAGTCTTAACTGTTTGTAAGAAAAATCAGTCATTGCTGATCACTTATAGCAAAGCAACACACACATTTATTGGAACAAATCTAGACCCTATCACAGAAACAGAAGACTGTTCAACAGGTTAGAGAGACTACCGCTATAAAAAACTGAACACTGGTTTGAGAAATATGGCAGGATTCATATCAATCATGTTTTGTTTGATGTGATTAGTTACATTGTTCTTTAACTCTATGAACATGGCAATTTGACCAACCACCTGACCTCTTTGTACTCGTTTAAAGCCTTTATAGGTTTGATACTACTAACTTGTGCAGTAAATGATGCCTGGTCAGAAAGAGTTAATTAATAACCTGGTTTTTCATTTTACTGACCCAACATTTAATAAAGTTCTGTAATACTTATTCACAAATGTATTGTTATGGATGCTACATTTTGAGGTATTGTTGTAAGTTATATTTTCAATGTTTTAATTTAGATGTTTGGTAGAAGGTGCACAATGTTAAGATTGAGAATGTTTATAAAGGTAGTTTAAGAATCTAGAAACACCCCTTTCTTGGTAGAAGTGAGAGTTCAGTATAAATACAAAAATCAAACAATCAAGTACTAATGTTGAATTAGAGGCTGATCGAGTAAAGGAATTAATGCTTTTGTAAGCTAATCAGTAAGTCAGCCAGCATTTGTTATCAAAGACATTTCAGTTAAAGGACTTCAGTAGTTTTGGAGTTTCTGCTGAAAAGTTCTGTATTTGAAATTAAGCCTATAGGTAAGCACGGCTGTAACCAATGTTACGGAAATAAATAAATTTATTATTGTTACATGGACTGGGTCTCACATTATTTTTACCAAATAATCGAAAAGAACAACATTACAACAGCATTTTTGGTTGAAAAAAACTTTAGTGAATTGATAAATTTAATTCACCTTGGTTCATTTTGTTGTTTGATTTTATCATAAATCTAAATCCAAGCAAGTAGTTTCCACACCCTTACAGTTATATATGGTTGTATATTTATTGGTTGTATTACTGAATACAGTGCTGTACATGGTTTGCATACTGTTGCTTAGATCTGGGCAATTAGTGGAAGATGCTTATCAATTAATCGATTGGCTCACTTATGGATTATATTCAACTAATAAATTATTGTCATATAAAATTAATATGACCATTTTTATCTAGTTTCTTTTAAAGCCATTTTCCAATTACCAAGATTTTTAATATGACATACATCTAACTTCTGGCATTTGCATTTTGTGAAAACTTTTGCACATTTTTTGTCAAGATAATTTGAACATTTCCTACTTGACAAATTATTGATATCTACACAATTTGAGGTCAACATTTTGTTTGTTTTAAAATACAGAGTAACCACCCACCCCATTTATTATGTGGAAATCAAATAAATTGATAATGGTAATAATATTTTTATTTAAAACATATCAGGAATGCAGTTAGAACTAATGAAGTAAACAGTTAATCTATTTATTAATGTACACCTTTTGAATAGGATAAACACAAAAATAATATTCAATAACTAAGAATGTGAGTCATCAGAATATTTTGAAGTTACCTACAATAACCTCTGAACTTAACTAAGCTTCTTTTTAAGTCTTTAAACTTTGCAATGAATGCCTATGATCAATGCTACAGGTGATATAAACACTGAGTTTTCCAATGAAACTAATCTAGTGCTAAAACCACTTTATTTACTCTACTATGATGTCAAAAGTCTAATTATTTTTCAATACAATCATACTAAAACTTTCTTTAGAGCTGTTTCAAAAGATGTATTTGATTAGTAAATGATCAAATCACTTGATGTGACATCATAAAAGGTTAGGAACTAAGGCATGTACAAAAACTAAGCATTGATTCTTAATGGATAATATATTCTCAAGAGGTCTTAGTTCTTAATAAAAATAAAGCTGTGTGCATTGTATACAGGAGAAACTCATTGGAACTGTCCAGAAACAGAATTTTAAAATTGTTAGAAAATGTCAAAATATCTATTCTAAAACATTTTTTTGAGTTAATATTGTTAAAATATGTCAGAATTAACATATAAAAATTACTTAAAAAACTGTGACTGAAAGAAACTTTAATTATCAAAAAATATGAAAGGCTATAAGAAAGCCTGTCTTCAGATATAATAACTTAGGATTAAGTTACTTTTCTAATCCTAAACTGTT